CTCAGATTAGACTCAGCATAAACAAGGCTTGACTAGAGTACCACAAACTGGCAAACACTCTGGCGTCGAAGTAGTGGCAACCAGCAGCTTAAGAGCAGTCCGGTGATGAGTTAAACGCTTGCAGGTGCATGAGAAGGCGAACCGGAGCCAGGCGCCTCCTGGTGGTGGAAGGGAGAAACACAAAAGACAAGACAAACAGACAAACACAAAAACAGTGATCCTGACAAGTTCCACAGATTCTAACCTTCATACTTTTGCCCTTGTGCTGACATATGGCCTTGAATGCGAAGGAATATCAGTATTTCCTCACAACTCTGTCCTCTAACAGTAATCCTCCCCAAAAAGAAGGCTTCACTGAACATTACTGCAGAGGACAACTATTTAATTTATTAACCTTCACAAATTGATTCCCTAGTTCCCTTCATACTACCTCAGACAATGTGACCCCCTTCTTTTTGTTGGAATTTTATTTCTTTAAACGCGGGTTATCAAGCATTCAGCATCATACAGGGGAACAGAAAGAGGCAGGCAAACATAAAAGATAAAAAACACAAAAAACAATAAATATTAATAATAAAAATAAAACAGAAATTAGTCTAGTCTGTCACACTGTAGAGGGTATAGCACATATCAAGTTTCGTCCTCGAGGAGAACAAGGATATTTTAGATTTAAAGAAGCCTTAATAATAACAACAGCAATAATAGTAATATATGGATAGAGTAAAAGTGTACAAGAGTCCTAAGCAAGATATTCAGTAACTGAGGTCCACCTTCTCAGAAAAACAGACACTTTCATCTGTAGTTGGGCAGTCATATGTTCCATCGTGTTTTACTTTCTGTAGCCACTGAGTGATCGTGGGAGGGTCAGACTTCATCCAGTTAACAGTAATATTTTTTCATGTGCCCCCCTTTTAAAGGGGAAAGCTTTAAAAATGGAAAGCTGTTTTCGTAGTTTTATGCAGAGCTGCACACTCTGAAGCATAATGATAGGAAATTCAGGATTTCCTGAAAAGCGCATTCACGACGCTACGGAAACCGCAGCAGACCAAACCAGATGAAAGTGCGCATTCAGCTCGGCAAAGAAC